GCCAGTGGCCGTCGATGCTTGTCGATAAGGGGCAAGAAGTCACTTCAGTGATGTGGGGAACCAGCGGCTGACAAGGTTTCAGGCGGCTGAGGACAGAGACATGATGATGATCATAAAAGGTTAAACAATGCGGAGAAGAAATGTTCTAAGCCGCCCTTGGGAGGAGTGTCGGCTAATTGCTAAGTGGCAATCTTTTGCAACGAAAAGGTTCGACTGAGTCCGCCTTTCAAGTCGCATTTGAAGAATGAAGCCACCTTGACTAGGTGAGTGACGGCTCACGGGATAGTATATTTGTGAAGAATAGGGAATTCCTTATAACAACTATATAGGTATATAGACCATAAATTACTCTACTTTCTCACATGAACTAATATTTGGCGCTTAATAATTTTAATTATTACTTTTAAATTTAATATAATTTCAATTCCTATTTTTTACTTGAGATTTATTCCATAGTTACGCGTATAAAATTAGTAACTAAAATAATAATTATTTATGCTTAAATTAGGATGATTGTAGTTGGTCACTCACTATGGAATTTTCATGAAGATATATACCTTACTTTGTATAGCTATCTACACCACCCATGTATATTTTATAAATTACCTGTTAATTTAACATATTAAATTATTTTCCTTTGTAAAATTTCTTCTTTTGACTTTTGGATTGTGTAATCACTACATCATCATTCTAACGTAGAAAGGACATCACCTTAAATGACTTCAAGTCAATGTTTGAGTTGAACTGAAGTATATACTATTGTTACTATGTTTATATATTTTTTAAGAAAATCATGTCAACATTTTTTAAACAGAAGAGAATATTCTAACCTCTGATAATATAAAAGTTAAATATGGCCAATTGAGTGATTAGTAAAAGAGAACTTACATCAGAAAAAATGTGAATAATAAGATAAAAATAATAATGACATTGCCAACAGTACTACATATAGCAAACTACAATGTAAACTTAACGTATTTTGTGGAGCACAGTTATTGGCTATAAGCATTGAGGTTTCCATATATATACTTCATGATTTCTTAAAAATTGTCATATAATCTTATATAATAAAATTGATTTAATACTAAATAGTAATATCGCTGTAATAATATCGTTATTAGGAAAAATTCTTCATGAACCAATATGTTCTTTACGACATATTAGCTATGCACTACAAATTCTTGTGTTTTTTATATAGTCAAAAAGTTTGAATATGAACCTCTAACATGGTGTTCTCACAACAGCAAAATCCACTTAGCAGATGTAGATAATCCAGATGAGTTATACATTCTATTTACAATACAAATGCCCTAGATAAGTGAGTTATAATAGTATTTTTCATTCACATCATTTAGGGTACGTAACATTTGATAGGGACGTTGCATCAAAGGAATTTTTTTTATATTTAGAGCACATAGCGAAATATATCATAATCTCCCTGCCCTAATTTCGCAAAAAAATAATTCTTCATACTTTTAGTTTTACTTCTATGATACAGAGAATGAGCTATAAGTTGAATGAGAATATTAGATAATGTAAATATGAGTGAAACCATAACTAAAAATAAATGTGAATATGAGTCAAACCAAACCTAAAAATTTAATGGGCATATTGCAAGTAAATTCATATAAAATATTTCTTTACGAATTGAATGATCATTCATCTTTTGAAGACTTCAAGATACTAATAAATAGATATGTTATACTAGATTAATATGTGTAACTCACAAATAGTAAATCACATGGCCACAGTCTAGGTTGAAGGAAACAATGACAATATTTCAGTTGAGAGAGAGATTATCGAGTTTATGATCAATCCCACAAAAAACTTTATTTTCTTTTTGTTTTTATTCTATTTTTATTAATTTAAATAATCATGATATTTAACCGCGTGCATTGCACGTGTATCTCAACTAATATATATATATATATATATATATATATATATATCCAAGGATAGATGTATCACATGTCCTATATAATTGGCTGCGAATTTCAGGCATTAAAATCATTTTTTAATTCCAAGTTGCTTATCATATATGCTTGCTTTTCACTCAAGGTGAACTATGGTAATACGCTAGACTATAGATTTTGATTAAAAATAGTGTACTATATTTAAAAAAAGGAAAGATGCATCACAACTTTAATTTTATTCAAATGAACAGGTCAAAAAAATTTCATTATAACCGGAGGTGATTGAATATTTCAAACTGCCCTTAGTTGCAGATGGAGAGTCGAGACTCTACCGCTACCGCTGCATGTAAGAGGTTTTGGGAGGATAAGTAATGTGAATTGCACTTGTTGATTTTAAACTTCTCGGCGACTCAAAAATTTTGCCTTCCAATTCTTTGTGCAAGAATTGAACATGTCTCTATAGGGCCTTAATTTCCGTCCTCTACAGCATAAAAAGAAAATATTGATTGACAATAAGGTAAGAAATTAAGAAAACAAAATAAAACGCATGTTCCCTGCTCAACTTTTAAAGTACAAACGTATAGGATATAACATTGACGTTCATCACCCCGGTTTCGGAGTTATGGTATAGTGGAAAGGACCTTGGGGGATATATATGGTAAAAGAGCAACCCATGTTCCATCCTCACGCTATAAATTTAAACCAGATTTCTTCAAAAAAAAATTGTTATTGTTACGCGAGTTTATATTTTGCTCGTTAAAAAAATGCTCAACCTGAGAAAGTATGTTATATATAGAATAACAATTTTTATATTTTATTACAAGTTCAGAGTTCTGATGCAGTGACATGGACGTTTGAGAGCAACTAGTCTCTCTACTTATGAAGCTCAACCGCTTGGATCATATTTGAACAACACTTGGAACTAAACACCATATTAATCTTGTTTTATTATCCATAATAGCATCGATATGATAAATTTTCAATTACAACCTTATTCCATATATTACGACTAAGACATGCTATATCCAAATAGGTTATTCTTAGACAATGACGATACGGGGTATCAAACTAGTAAGGCCGCTGCCCAACTATATTCCCAGGTGGATAATACTCACAAACAATGAAAATCGCACCACTGTTGCACTTAACGCGCGCGCAACCAATACTTGTCGACTTAGCCCAAACCACCTGAGTATAGTGACCGCATACTTGACCCGATGCACAAGTGTTACTGCTGTAATCATAGTACTTCTTCTCATCAACCCAAGCATTCACTGCATCCGCTGCCGTAAACTCTCGGCCCAGGCCCCAAAATATGTTCTCGCCGTAGGGCCCACCGGAGTGCACGAGCTGGCAGTCCCCGATTCGTTGGCTTGCATAGTTTTGCGCGTAGGCGGCGAGCGTCTCGTTCCAGTGCACGGGGCCGACGTTCACCGCTGCGCGAGCAGCGTTGTGGGCATCGACATAGTCTTGTGGAGAGTTTTGTGCTATGGTGATTTGGATTGTTGACAAGGCTATAATCAACATGAGAGCTTGGGTAAAGCTACGTGAATCCATTTTTCTTATTACTGATTAATTAAAATATATATCGTATGGTATTTATAGATGATAATGCGTGTTAAATTTGGTTGTGTTGATTTGTTAAGTTTTAAAAGTCTCCTTTGGATATGTGTAATTTTCTTCTACTTCGTCTCTTTGTGTGCACAGTTTCTCAACGCAGCCAGAGCTGATTGGCTTATACTTTGCATGTTCCATTTTCAATTAGAAAGGGGGAAGGAATGTGGAAGGTTAATAGCTTTCAAGATGTTGATATCTTTGAATAGGTTTATTACTTTTCCTTGTAGAATAGTATTATAGATTTGAAAATAGCTACATGTATCTTTAGCGGATTGAGATCCTCTTCAATTAGGTGGTAATTGGAGAGTGTCCAATTACTTTAATCCCTACCATTTATTCTAAATTCAAGGTCTGAGATGAAGCAGCGTAGGAGTCCAAATATTATCTTGAAACTATCGTTGTCTTTAAAACCACTCTTCATCTTAGTTGTTGAAATTGGAATGGAGGGATATAATTGATTGGAATAATTGGATACTCACCAATTACTATCTAATTGAAAAGGATCCGAATCCATCTTTAGGAAAAGTAGGTGGCATTAAGTAGATGTATATCTTTTGTATGTTGATTTCTCTGGTCTTGAAAAGACTAAAATTGATGTTACTGAGTGCTAATTTTATAAGGATTCTGTGCAAATTAAGGTTTCCAGTTTTGCATTTGGAATATGCTGAACACGTGCCAGCAAAATGTAAAACGCCTCTAACATCTGGGTACTTGATAATTAATCTATGCGTAAGCTACTAGTAATCTCTGATTATCTTCAAGAATTTTCTTTCGTAAACTAAGTCTATCTTCAAAAAAATATCTTAAAATCCAACACAGTCAAGGCGGGATTGCCGTAGAAATTTCAACGCATCTAATCACGTTAACGCACGACGGATCGACATCAATCCAAATTCCATGGTTATCCCTCAACTCTATTAACTCATCCAATCACGGTCATATATCTATAATATTTACAAGATTAATTATCCTTCAAACCTGACTATTTTGCCCCCAATTCCGCCATTAAAAAGTAGTGGAGATGACACAACAATATCACAAATGCTACGGTTTTCTTTTTAGTGTAAGAAAGAAAAAAGTGCAACTTTAGGGTATGCGTGTTAGATATGAAATGAATCGTTACTACCCAATATGTAAATCAAATACTATGATTAATGGAAAAGTTAGTGCATTCCGTAACTAGCTAACCGTATTTACATTCACAATACCCCATGAGTTGCATTATTTCTCTAATTTATAGTTAATGGTTAAGATATTATAGTTATTTATCCACTAATTTTTTGAGTTTTAAGGTGATTGATTAAAACTAGTAGCATGAACCACGGTCCACCACTTGTTAGTTCCAATGGATATGGTCCACCGGTACTTAATTAATCCTCAGTGTGCTTCGGTAATGACCGATCTCAGGTCAATCAATTCATTGCTTTGCTTAATTTTAGATGTGAATACGGTTCTGCTATTCAGATCCATATCCCACGCTTCGAGTCTAATATTGCGCAGTCCATTTGGAAATATTTCATATGTTTTAAACTTTTTTTCCCCTCTCCAACCGCCATCTTCAATTATTAAAGGGCTAATTGCGAACAAACTCCATGCAGTATCACACAATTTTAACAAGACCCTATTAGTTATATTTGTTGCAAATAGACCCTTTATGGTTCTCCTTGTTTGCGAATATACTCCCTGAGTAATTTTTTTTTACTTTTAAAATTATTAAAAATATTTGAGAAGGCGGATACACACCTACACCGCCCCAGCCCCCCACCAACAAGAAAAAAAGTTCCTATTGGTGAGGACAGAAGACAACCAAATACTACAATGGATCCATTAGCATATATAAATAGAACTATATGGGTCCTATTCGCAACAGATAGAACTACATAGATCTCTTTGCAATTGGATGATACTGTAAGGGGTCTATTCACAATTAACCCATTAAAACAACATAGATGACATATCTATTTAATATGGTTGGACGTGGCTTAACTAGTAAGGGCTAGCTGCTTAAAACAAATCACTACGTACAATGAAGATGACGGGGGATAAATTGGATGACTTCATTTCTCGCAGTTCTGAGTTGCGGAGTGATGAAATTGTACGCGGTATTTATAGGGAATAATACTGCTATAGAAATATCAGTTTCTTGCGCATGCTCAAACGTCCCAAAATTAGGGTTACAATTCCAGACGGATTTTTACCGACCCGACCCGACCCAGAGAGATCCTATGTGATGTCATGTTGACGAACACCTAGCTGCGTAATGATCAATACCGAGTTCAACGTCATGATGTGCGCGCATTTGCCGTATATAATGAACGTGAAGGTAATAATCCAATCTATATAAATTATGTGCGAATCATATGTGTATTGAGCCTACGGATTAGGTTCACTTGTATTCAGGCCGTGCAAAACACGGCTATGATATAGTTAACATGCATTCTCTTTATGCTTTATTAATGACGGGCCTTTAAGAATATTGAGCAATGAGCACTTTGTGCTCTATGAAAAAAATTAGTATTTGCATCTCATCAAATAACATGAAAATTATGAATAAAAATTAATTTTATATTGAAGTAAAAAAAAATACATTATTCCACAAATAATAATAGTGAGCCACATAAAATAAAATAGAAATTGCATAGCTTTTATTATATAAGCACGAACTTTATAATGCATAACCATAAATAATTACATTAGATAATCAAAACATCACAGTACACTTGGGTTGGTAGAGAGTTTATATACTGCAACCCAAAATGTAGATTTGGATATTATATCCTAATATATTAATGTTATGTTGTTTTCAGTAGTCAAATTATGACATGTTGCCCACAACAGGCGAATATCCTCTGCCACGCACCATTCAATCAACTCGACACTTAGGACAGCCAAAGTCGACCTAGCCGACTCGCCGAATCAACATCTCACTAGGTCAACTCGTATGGCGATACTTCTCGGTCCTCTCATTAAAGGCGACTCTCTACGAATCCACTCAACCGGTTAATTAGCTAGCGTCTCGCTGACTCGACTCGAAAGGCGATACTTCTCGGCACCCCTTAATACAAGTCAAAAGGCAACTTCGACCTCGGACCCCCGCTGACAGCGCGTCGACATCACATTAAATACTTGGTAGGCGTCATCATTTCTCCATCCCCGACACTATTTATAACCCATCGGACCATGTTAGTTTCATGCGCCGCCTATCTCATCTCATTAATGCCAAAGTGATAGCGCCCATTCCGCGACCACTCCACAACTGACGCGGGTAAAGTCAACATTAACTCAACCCCCAACTCAGACTTGGTGGGGAAAGACTAAAATTCCCCTCCTACATGATTATAAGAAGGATGAGTATTCCCAATGAGAATGTAAGCAATTTCTGAGAATTTTTCACCATTTTATTGCACCAGAAAGCTAGCGCAGTTGACTACTTTCCCACTTAAGTACATCACTGACTTGATCTCGGAGGAACAACAGGGAACTAGCCACTGTCCTCTTACGAGTTGTTACATGTGCAGGGAAGAACAAATCACCCCAAAACTAGATATTCGGAGAAGTTAGCAACCCCTGCTCAATCTCACCCCCACTACATCATCTGTGTGATTATTAACATCAACAGTTTGGCGCCTACCGTGGGGCCTTCTCTCTTTCCCGAACAAGTATGTCTGGTTCTGAGCATAGGGCTGATCAGTCCATCCCTGGAGGACCACACCAGAGATACGTTACTCAAGTCCATTTTGAAGAAATAGCTCAAAAGATCTCTCAATCCCTCTAACAGCAACTCGCTACCTTTACCAGCAAGCTCCTCAGCTGGTTTTCATAACCGCAGCAAGCTACTTCTGCCATTCCTCCTCCCTCAGGAGACCAGCGATCGGTGACTCGCTCCCCTTCAGAAGCTCAGCGTGTCATCCCCCTCGGACTCCTTACGCTGCGCCAAGTAACAGAGAGATCGCGTCGAGTACGCGACCTCACCACAACACTAGTCAACTCGCCCGGCGGATCCCTGATGCGGCATAAACATGTACCAAAAAGGTTGCAAGTGCACAACCGTGTCAAGTTATAGTATTTAAGATATCGATCCCACGAGGAAGGTGTTTTGTAGGAGAAAATATGAAATCGGTTCTTATGTTGTGTGTGACAAGTAGGAGTGATAAATGGATGTGATTGTGGAAAGAGAGAGAGTGGAAGTGATAGTGTGTAAATCGGTGCAAAGTGTAAGTGAGAGTGGATTTGAAAAAAAATGAATATGATCAATAAGGCAAGAAGGAAAAGGAAAATAAAAATCAAGAATAAAGAAAATAAAATTCAAGAATAAAAGAAAATGCAAGAAATTAAAGATGGTGGATTCAATTATAGATATGGGTAATCTACAATTGAACCCACTTCTTAGAAAAGGGTGATTCCCTAGAGGGTTCTAGCCTAAAGGCGAATCAAACAAAATAAAAATAAACAAAAAGAAAAACTAAACCCAAGAGGGTTCTAGCCTCAAGGTGAATAGTATAAGAAATTAAAATCTAACTACAAAATAAAGTGCAAAATCTAAACTACAAAATAAAATTGCAAGAATTAAATGCAAGAAAATAAATCTACTCTATAAGCATGAAATAAATCTAATCTATAAGCATGAAATAAATCTAAGGCAAGAGGGTTCTAGCCTCTTGGCTATTTAACAAGAAAATAAAATCTAAACTACAAGCATAGAAATAAATCTACACTAATAAGCAATAAAAAGGAAATAAAAGAGAAAAAGGAAAGAAAATGCAAACCTCTAAATAATTCTTCATCTCCATCTTCATCATCCAACAAAGAGAAGAAATATTTAAAGTGGTGAAAAAATTATTATTATTAATTGCAACTAAAGTTACAATTTTGGAAGGCCTTCTCAATTAAGAGTAGCCCTCCTCTCCAAAAGGAGTTTACAAAATTTTCACACCTCTAAC